CACAGTAAACGATTGCTACCTTCTCTCACTACCATCTATGTCAATCATTCTTTTTTTCCTTTAGTCGCTCACTAAACTACGGCTGTTTATGAATCAAATCAGCGACATTGGGGCACAACATCTGGCTGATGCACTTCGAACAAACACTGTAAGATATTTAGTGTACTAATCTTCTTTTTCTATCGCTATCAAGGCAAATATGGAGAGGATTCTATGATTTCATCTCTGACAGACACTCACGGATCTAGAACTACATGGTAACCTAATTGGAACTGGTGGATTGGAACATTTGGCTGACGCACTACGGACGAACAAAGTGAGTTAAATTTCACTAATGATGCATGTCTGGCATTATTTCTTTGTAACCCTTCAAAATACTTCATTCTAGACACTGAACATACTGACTATGTATGGAAATAAATTTAAAGACCAAGAAGCTGGATTCATTGCAGATAAACTAAAAACAAATGAAGTAAGTTATATGTCCAACTAATCCTGACTTATATTTTATCTCAAGGAGTCACTATTTTTTTCTATCGATTACGCACACTGGCATTGCACTGAGTAGAGAAGTCAACCTGCTTAGAAACAATTTCAGTGCACATCGTGCACTCTTGTATTTGCTATTGTAAGACTTTCTCTTTTATTGTAGAAAATAGAACCACAAATCCGAAATATTAATGAGATTCCGTACACGAACCCTCAACTTACACAGCTGATTAAGAGCAATATTAACAGCACAGGTGTCAATTTCGCCGGTAAAAATCTAAATGATCAAGATATGAAAATCGTGGCAAACGAATTACTACAAGTGAATAAGGTAAGAAGTCTGCTAGGTAATAACTTTATGTACCGTGAAAAGAGTAGAATAATTCTAAGACTCGAGGATGAGACTGCCATCGTTTTCAATCTTTTTTTATACTAGGTGGTAACTCAGCTTGTACTACAAGGGAATCAAATCGGAGATATTGGAGCTCAATTTTTGGCTGATGCCCTCAAAGTTAACACAGTAAGCTGATTGCTATTCTTTTTCTGTGAAAGTCTAGTTACATGACGCTCGTGCAATTCATATCTAGAATTTTGAGAATTTTCTTGAGCATTCAAGTCTTGTTACGAACCAGATCTACCTCATCTAAAGTAGTAGCAATTAGCTCCTATCATCATACTCTCGTTTCTATCGTAGACACTGAAAGAGTTATACTTAAACAGTAATAAAATCGGAGATGTTGGAGCAGAGTATTTGGCCACTGCTCTTAAAACAAANCTTTCCTCCTATAGACATTAACACGATTGGACTTGTATACAAATCAGATCGGAGACAGTGGGGCACAATATTTGGGTGAAGCTCTGAAAACTAATAAAGTAAGCTGCTCCCCTGACTTATTTACTCTAGTAGAAAGGTCCGTTAAGTACTATTATGAAGTAACGAGAATTTCATTCCATTGTGTAATAGCAGAGACTAACGTAAGAGTTATCTTGATGTTACGATTTTATTGAATCTCAATTCCAGATCGACCTTAAATAAATATAACATTGATTTAGTATTTTCTCTTAAGAGCAACAATACTAATGTAGAATGTGGTAGAAGTTTCCAACAATGAAGCTCATCTTATAACTCTACTTATAGTGTCGAGAACTTTTCCTTAAAAAAATTCTATTACTGATAGTCATGAGGGGGAATAGCATAAACTGTTAGCATAGAATCATAGAAAATCTTTTTCTTTGTGCAATATAGAGCGTGACTTTATTACAACTTCAAACTAATCAAATTGGAGATAGTGGGGCACAGTATTTGGCTGATGCGTTGAAAGTTAATAAGGTAAGCTAAACAGATAGCTGGTATTCTTTCGAATAGAACTGTCTCAAATTGCAACGCTTTCAGATCTCTACTCAAAACGTCATGCACTATCATTTTTTAATCCTATTCTAATTGTACCTGTGTGAAGTATTAACATAATTAGAGATTGATAATTTAAAAGATAGTTATAAACACTAGGGTTATCTTAATCATTCCTTGATATTGAAGCATTATCAATTTAGGCTGCTTAACTCTTATACTTTTATTATCAGCTTCGCATTAATGTAGACACTAAACATACTCTACTTGCATGAGAATCAAATTGGAGACACAGGAGCACAACATTTGGGTAACGCGCTTAAAACCAATCAAGTGAGTGTATTTTCTTGCAACTCATTCCTATACTGGAGATCGTTGATAATGAATAGTTAGATTCAAACAATAAAAAATGCTTTTCTCATATAGCCAAGGGGGAAAAAGCGGCTCCTGGTGGCTCCTGATGGATTCTAGAATCCATCAGGAGCCATAGAATCCACCAGAATCCATAGAATCCACCAGAATCCACAGAATCCACCAGAATCCACCAGAATCCGCCAGAATCCACAGAATCCACCAGAATCCACCAGAATCCACAGAATCCACCTGGAATGCTGTGTTTCACAAAGATTTCTCCTGATATATTATCTAAGATAAATTTTTAGAATAATTTTACAACCAACAACTCCATTAGCGACAGTACATAATAAGCATGTATGAATTTAAAGATAAGCTTGAAAATGTTCAATAATCATAACATATATTTTTTCACCTAATGAACTGTCCTTCTATTTTGTGCCTGGATACTTAGAATACATTCGCTCTCCTTTAACTCTGTAGAAAACGAAAAAGCAAAGCATGGATTAGTACTTTTTAGTCGTTAATTTCATACTTATAGTAATTATTCTGTAAAAACTATCTACTTTCTTAAAATGCAGAAGCTACTAGAGGAATAAGTAGCTATTCTTATATTTGCTGATTGTTTCTTCATTATATTGATTAAAATCTTTCGTGTAAAGTTGGAAAATCAGAATGAGTAGATCAGTATGATTCAATTTTCAACATTCTGTTTAAACAAATAAACCATCAATTATTGTAAGTTTTTATTTGAATATAGAAGTTCATTGTTTCACAAACAATAGTAAATATAGAGAAGTTATTCTTGTGTATTAGTTTGTTGAACTCGTGACAGTCTGCTAGACGGTAAAGAATTTTTTGTTTTAGTTAATAAACGCGCTGCTGTTTGTTTATGAATAAATTTTTTTTCGTTGTTAATCAAAGTTGTAAAATAGTTGTGCATTTTTGATGGATCTACATGTTCATATATTTTCATTCCTTGAAATGTTTCTTTTGAAGTTATTACATTATGTATATTTTGATTATCATTATCAAAAAACATTTCGTTTGATTCATAATCGGCATCGGAACATTCACTCGTATTATCATTTGCATCACTTGCTTCATCGTCTGAATTTTGCTCGACATCATCATCATTCACGAAAGAATAATCTACAATTAATCGCTCACTGAGCTCCTGAAATACAAATGAGCTTAACTTTTTTATATCATTTAATTCATTCCTCTTTAATGTTTCAGTTAATTTTAACTCATTCATGATAGACTCGGCTTTTTTATATGCTTTGAGAATTATCTTTTCAATATCAGCTGTTGTTATCGGTGGTGAATTTTGATTGTTCGTCGGTGTAAGTGATTCATTACGTCGATTCTTATGATGAACCGGAAATTTGATTGAACATGTTGCGTTGCTGGATTCTTCGGTGGATTTTATTTTATTTAAAATCGAAATTTTTTCAATTTTATTCATAAATTCAAATACTGAGAAGTTTGTTATTGATGAAAATGTGCCACTTAACGATCGAGCACTCCGAAATGTTGCTTCACAAGGTTGGCTACTGAAAAGATGTACATTTAATGCATACGCTGGTAAATATCCTGATGATACTAAAATAATTATTGATGTTAAGCAATGTATGTTTATTTCTGAGGAAATCCAAGCTGCTTTAGTTATGAAACAATTGTCTTTCTCTACTTGTGATAAATTTTGTTCGGTTCTAAGACTACTCCTAAAAATTACAAACGAAATAACTAAAATTATCAAAATTGTTTTTTACCACCACATTCTGTACGTAAACACAACGATCCAACCATAATATAAACGATTAAGAATATCAGTATCTTTTTTGACATAAGCGAGAATTATTAATTTTAATATATATAAGTAAACAAATGTAGCTTTAGTATTCGTTTGATTTAATAGAGTCAAGACATCATCAGAAGTGATTTTTAAACAGGAGGAATAGTTTTGTCGATCATGAGGACGCACATCAGATTTTACTAGATTATGGTCGATTTTTGAATAGTTTTCTATTAAATCAAGAAGATGAATAACATTAATATCTTGACCATTAATACGCAATGTAGCAGTTATCGATAATAAACGATTTCTAATCTTTGTTACAAGATGAACACCATCTTGCATGCAAAGAAATGCTTGATTTGATCTCATAAAAAAAAAGCTCCATGTTCGTGGAATGTTTATGTTAAACAAATTAGCATCGCCTGTTAATAATTCAATGTTGGGTACTCGAGCAAAAAATCCCAACGCTAACCTCATAGCTTTGAGATATCGAGGATCGCAATCGGATGAAAAACCAACAACATTTATTTTCTTACTTTTACATGCATTATACATGTGTATCCATTTTCGAAAAATCTCAATCGAATTAACCTTATTATTGGTCCCATATGCGGAAACGATATACGGCCTTGAATGAACTAATGATGAAGTTTTGGTTAATAATGGTTCAACTAAATGAGCGTTAATTAGTTTGGATTTATCAAAATCTTCAAACCACTGCTCTAGTTCACTATAACTGTTTGTTCTGAATTGATTTATTGAAGGTAAACCATTCGATAATCTTGAAGAAAATCCAATAAAACAATCATTTACGGAATCATAAGATATTGAACTGATCACACTGGTACAATCTTCTGACTAAAAAAAGAAATTCGATTAATTGAAATTAGAATTTCAAAAGAGAAAATTTTTAATCCTAGACTAGAAAATTTTGTTAATGATCATAGATTGTGATAAAACTCGAAAAGAATAAATTTAAGCACATTACAATTTTGTTAAGTTCTCAAAATTTCATCAAATGTCATGGAAGTGTGTTAGTATTTGAGATATGATATTTGAGACTATCTCCTTTCCTCTTTCCTTCTATCTTTCATTCACAGATAAATTATCACCAGAATCAGTTGGTTAGTAAAAATTAGAAAGATTCAATATTGTATGATAAATATTAGACTGTCATAAAGAACATACCACAAATACATAACTTGAATCAATTGAGTCCAAATAAGTTTTTAGTGAATTAAACCGAAATTCACATTCATGTAATGGTAAACTTATACTTTGATTATAATTTCTTAAAGTGGTGACAGATGGTAAAGCACCTGGCAAATTTAGTCGAATAAATTCATAGGCATTATGTCCTGATAATATACTCAGAGCTGATGCAAATTTACTAACCATTGGATCAAAATGGTAATTATTACTAGGCCTTTCCATGTTATTCAAAATATTTCTAATGAAAATGTTCATAAAGGATTTCGACTGGAATCCTTCGTTCTCTTGGTTCATGTTCAATTGATGACATATACATTGTCCTGATTGTTTAATAGCGATGGATGTTGTTGTTTGAGAAGGAAAATTGCTATTATTTGATTTTGATTCATGAAATTGTTTTAACAACTCAATAAATTGCTCTATGTTTGATCTAATTCCTGCTCGTACAACATAACTCATATCATCATCAATAATGCAAGCTCTTTGTTTTAAACTAATAATATCTTTAGAGTTCATTTGAAAGAACGAAAAGACATCTGGTATTCGTAGCAAGATTCGAATGTTTTTGATGCATTGAATTTCTAAAATTTCACCTTCGACTATGCCAACATAGTCTTTAACAAGTTTATAAAAAGCATCACCGGAATATGATGAAACATTGTCGAGGATCGGTAATAATTCTTCTTCCAAAGTAGCCATAGGTATAACGTAATGGAAAAAAATATCTAGAAAAATTTAGATAATATTTATTTATTTTGCCTAGATTTAAGACAATGTATTACAGATAATTAACCATTTACAAAAAAATTTAATCATCATGATACTTAAAATAAATTAGTTGTACATAGATATAAGAAGGGTTTAAGATAGGTTATAAATAGAACTTACATAAAAAACATCTTCAAGTATACTAAATAAATAAATGAAAAACCAAGAAGATATTTAAAAAAAATACACACGATCATGTTTTTTGTCTGAATATCAAGACCTTTTTTTCTTTGCTCTAGTACCAGAAGTCGATGAAAGTGAAGATAATCGTTTTCTTGGCGGAGAATACGATTTTTTTGTTGTGTAGTTGTTATTTATAATATCAAAACTATCGTTTTCATCATTTAACATTTCTTGATCACTAGCACTACAATTATCAATATTGTGCCAATCGTTGTTTTGTGCCACGTTGTCTGATACATCATCAATTTTTTCAGAAAGTTTATTTGATTGTTCTTGTTTTTTCTTCATCATCCGACAACGACTACGTTTTATATGCTTGAAATAGGAAGAAAGTTGATATGAATTTGTATTTGTACGAAAAATCATTTTTATTCTTGAATTACAACTACATTTAATGTACCCATCAACATACGTGTGTGATGGTGTTAACTGTATGAAATAATCAATGTCATTTTTTAAAATAACATTTTTAAATGTATTGGCACAGAACTTTTCGATACTATCGTAAATCACGTTGACATAATCTTTTATTGACATTACATTAGGTGATGTCGTTATTGATAATGTTGCTGTTGAAGTGGAACCAGTAGAATTTAAACTTGGTGTATTTGATACAGATGCATTTAATTGTG